TAATATAATTCAATTAAAATAAATTTAATCTTTAATTAGATTGTGGCACATGTCACTACATGGTTAGTCAATTTGGTTAATATAATTCAATTAAAATAAATTTAATCTCAAATTAGATTATGACAAAAGTCACTACATGGTTAGATAAAAAATAAATTAGATTGAGTAAATAAAAAAACAAGAAATTATCCTCACATGGATCAATCTTCAAAATTGTCAAGGAAATCTCATTTCTAAAAGGTTCAAAATATCAAAATATGAAAAAAAATTTAACATAAATGGTGGCAGGGTTGAGAGATTTAACTATAACCTTTAGGAACAGGAGGTGTGTGATGGGGGAGGAATGTAGTAAATTTGTTATCTCTTCTTCTACTATATTCTTACAACATATACAAAACAAACTCAAAATCGACAATATCACTACACCCCATATTGTTATCCTATGTTGCACTGATATGGATAGGAGGACTGATACGAGGATGGGACGGGTATGAGAAACATTAATTTCTAAAATTATAGGGTATGAGGATGGCAAGGGTATGACATATAAATAAATTTTAAATTTATAAATAGATGTAAAATGATTATAAATAAATTTAATACTTTATAGAAAATCCATAAACAAACCATAATAAAATCTAGAACAACAAAATCTATAAACAATCCACAATATTAAAATATCAAATCTCAAGATTCAGACCACAATATTGACTCTAGAATAATAAAATCCATAAATAAACCATAATATTAAGTCAAATAATAAAATCTATAAACAAACCATAATATTAAAGTGTCAAATCTTAAGACTCAAACCACAATATTAAGTCTAGAACAATATTAAACAACACAAATCAAACATTGTTAACATCTTTTGAGATTAACCCGCTCTATAAATCTGGCTCATCAAGCGAGAGTTCGACAAACTCTAAATATCCAACATCTCCAATTAATCAAAAACATCTCCATCAACATTCCACATCTTGGTTTTCTCATCCTCGTATTGATTAGAACTCCTTGATAAAAGGAAAATATTGTAGTGGATGTAAACTAAATCTTCAACACAACCCGAATTTAACTTATTCCTCTTAAGTGAGTGGATAAAGGAATAAGTGCGACAATTTCTTTCACAACAAGAGGATGAAATAGGTTGTTCAAGCACTTTGAAAATCAAAGATTGGAGCAGTGGAGTTTCGGCACTAAAGTTAGCCCTCCAATTTTTCGGATCCGAAGAATACCTTTTGTAAGAGAAACCAAATCTTTAAAAGGCTCACTCTTAATTGAGAAACTAGCATATTCATCCAAGACTTTGTCATAATCATCATCGTTTGGAAATAACCTACGAAAACACTTAATTCTCTCTTGAGATATTTCACCAGGTCTATGAGGAGCAACTCTATTAGGATCCTAATTTAGCCAACCATCATTACAAAATCTTCAACATATTAAAAAATTACACATACATCCAATAACTAGGAGTTGAGAATATAAAATTAAAAAATAACAAAGCTATGTATGCACCTTGGATTTAGTGAATGAGTTAGACAATGAAGACGAGTATAACTCTTTGTTCAACAAACTATAAGAATCCCACAAACTACATGATAAAAAGGATTGAAGTCTGAAAGAGAACGTTTTTCCTTCTTGTAAATTCCACACTTCACTTTTTCAATCAATGAATCTCACATATCATATACCAAATGAAGACATGGCTTATTAGTGTCACATACACTAAGCATGTCATAGATGGGCTCTGCAAAATCAATGATGTAAGATAATTTATCATACCAATAATCACTCACACGCTTTTCCTTCACAAAGTTTGTTTTCATGTGTCATCCTCTCTATAAGATTTTTATTCATCACTTATGATCATTGTTTGAAGTCCCTATTTATTGAGCTTAAACCTCGTAAGCATCACAATGATCAAAGCTAAACGAGTATCGACAATTGAAAGTAACTTAAGAGGACTAAATCTTTGGAAAATTACCAATCTCATATTGTGGTTCATGATAAAATTCTTGATTTGTATGACATCCCCATGAATTTCAATAATCCAATGGCATAAGTCATATGTTTAAACATTTCTCTTGATATTTCTTATCGAACAAATGTTCTTCAAGGCAAGATTAAGTGTGTGGACACACATGATGTCCAATAAATATGAGGATACATGCTCTCAATAATCTCTCTTGCACCCTTGCAATTAGTTGCATTGTTAGTAATAATATGCACCACATTTTGATGACCCACCTCATCAATCACTTATTTCATCAAATTTACAATGAAAAACTTATCTTTGACTTCACCAAAAAATTCATAACTTTAAGAAACATAGGCCCATTTCCAGAAGTAGCCATGAAATTAATGAAATGCTTTCTTGTTGGATCACTCTAACCATCACACACCAATCAACCTTTTTTTGCCATTTTACTTTAATTGGTTGCAAGAGCTTCTCAACATTATTTTTTCTTGTTGGAGCAATGTGGTTCACAATTTATTATAACTAGGGGAAAATAAACAGGTATACATAACCAGGTATATTGTGAGTTACAGCAGAACTAAAAATCCTATGATAATGAGGATTTCTAGCAAGATTAAAAGGTAAACCATCGGTATAGAACACTCTTGCAATTTCTTCGTCAAATTCGGCCCTAGAATTCATGTTAAATGATCTAATAAGAGGTGACAAACTAAGTTTTCTCTTCTTAGAAGAAGAATTCATCTCAACTCCAACTTGAGATTAAGAGTGTAAGGAAACTTCTCTGGTTGCTCATTGTTTCCTTTACTTCTCGCACTCATCTACCAACCTTACCATTTCAAGTTTTTAATTTGTAGTTATTTTTTTTACAAATTGCAACTCCTTCACCTGAAATTTGAAGCAAATGTTCCTTTTTCTTAGTATAGCTTCCATTACAAGTTTCACGACAAATGTTACATAGAAAATTCCAATTTCATTAACATTCCCCATTTTTCTATATTTGTCACATAATCCCACAATGGAGATAAATTCTCATTTTGGGATGATGAAATTGACTCATTCCCACTATTACTTCCAACCCCTCTACCACTTTAAGATGTCATATATTAAATAAAAAACAAATCAATTGAGTTCAAAGATCATGCATAAAACATTTATAAAATGTGTACGAAATTAATTACATAATATAACTTGTTTAGACTAGAATTTTATACGAAACAGAGCAGTCTTGTAACTCTAATTTCAGCAACTAATTTATAAAATCATTTCCAAATACAACTTAGCTAAAAAAACAACATGAGATGAAATAAATCAATGAACACATAATGAAGCACCAAACCGAATCAAAAAGCAATTTGCATGTGCATAGAAGAAGTGTTGCACTAAACCATAATTATAATTTGAGGTATTATTTTAATCATTTTAAAAAAACAATAATTTCTTACAGTTTGTACACTCACTACTCTAACTAGTCACAAACAAGAATTTCATCCCGTAATTTTACTTGGCTACTATTTTAAGCATTTTTAACAACATAAAAAATTTCTTCTATCTCATTTTCTTTTCCAGACAAATTCCAACACAAAGCAAAAACCCAAATATGTGAGAAAGTTGCTTACCTCTTCCTTGAGTCATTTATTAGTCCTACAAATATGTGAAAAAGAAAAATTTTTCAGAAAAATTCCAAGGTGCAAAACAAGCGAGGAGGAGAAGTGCAAATGCTAAGATTATCGAGCATCCCATCAAAATTAGGTTTTCTTTTTTTAATTTTTTTAATGTAAAATGAGAAAATTATCCCCGATGACATATGTGATAAACACATGTCGACCCTGAAACATCCCCAGATAAGTATTTGTCGTCCTCTAGTTCGATCAATCGTACCCTACCACCGTGGCACATCCCTGGTACGTACCCTAGTCGTCCTCGTGTTATCCCCATGCCAAGGACATATCAGGTACTTAAAACACCTTTCTTTTACAGTCCTCGTGCTTCATAGTTGTTATCCTGATCACCATTTACATCGTCACTTCACTATTCGGAGATGGGATGACAATTATAGAGAAGTAGCAGCAATTGGCGACGGAGTTGTGGTGAAAGACAATAGATGAGAAGTGAAATTTATTGACAGTGGTGATGTTGGGGTTGGAGAAACCCTTGAGGATGGAGATGATAACATTGTTATCTCTAGAAAAAAATCCCAAAAAAAAAATACAAAGTTATAAAGAGAACTTGAATCTTTATGGATTTTGGTTAGCCAAAAAGATTGAATTTTGAGGAAAATGAAGGATTTTGCTTGATATTGTGGCATTTTGATAAAAAAAGAAAAGAAAAGATAGTAGTAGTATTACTTGCAAATTTCCCTTTTTCAAGGTAGTGGGAGATTGCAACGCCCTTGTCCTTCGCTGCTGCGTGGTTGTCTGGTTGATCAATTTTATTTTAATTATATTATATTATGATCAAATTAATATAATGTATAAATATTAAGGACTAGATATTTATACTAAGTTATTGTTTTTAATTTCCACTTAATCTCTTTCGTTAAAAGTTAATGGTCAGTGACTTAATGGAAGCATTTAAATGGTTGGATGGGTTGATTGATGAAATTAAAATATCGATGATCAAAATGAAAATGAACAATAGTTGAGTGAAAATCATAAAATAATGTCACATCATTAGAAAAAAATAAAAATACTATGCTATCAATTAATATTCATTTTTAAAGGTATGTGACCAAAATGAAATTAAAACATAATATTAGGCATGATTTTGAAAAAAATAGTTGGAGGACTAAAACGAAATAAGAGTTATAGTTAGAATATTAAATTTGTAGTATACCATTTTTTTTAAATCATAGCTAATATTACCTTTTAATTCTAATTTGCCCTCTTGTTAAAAACTTAACGATGGTGTACTTATATGTCACCGTAAAATAAAATATTAAGGGTAGTCGACAACTTATCCACTTGAAAATGGTATAGAGGCCAATAAGAATAAGGGTCGACAGCTTAAAAAAAAAAAAAGGAGGAAACATGGTCTTCCAAATTCATTCACTTTTATCTGAGCTTTCAAAGTCTTATCATACCATCCTTAAGACCAAACAACTCCATGCTTTAATCTCCAAAACCCATCTGTCCCTTGACCCATTCTTCGCAACTAAACTTCTCAGGTTTTACGCCTTAAACGATGACCTCTGCTCTGCCCGTAACCTATTCGACAAAGCACCTCAAAGAAGCGTTTTCCTTTGGAATTCTATTATTAGAGCTTATGCACAAGCCCACCACTTCAACGATGCCTTATCGTTGTTTAATAAGATGCTTGCATCGAAAACAAAACCCGATAATTTTACTTATGCCTCTGTGATACGTGCCTGTTATGACAACTTTGATTTGGATGGGATGGGACATGTTCATGCAATGGTTATTCTATCCGGGTTGGGATTGGATTCCATCTGTGGTAGTTCACTTGTCACTGGGTATTCAAAGTTGTGCCTTGTTAATGAAGCATACAAGGTTTTTCGTAAGATTCCTGAGAAAGATTTGGTTTTGTGGAATGCCATGGTTTCGGGGTACAAGAATTGTGGCCTTTTAAACAAAGGGTTGGAGTTGTTTGGTTGGATGAAAATATGGGTCAGCGGCAGGATGGGCATACTTTGGTTGCCCTGATATCAGGGATCATGGATTCTCACTTGTTATGTGTGGGTCAAGGAATCCATGGTTTTTGTTTGAAAACTGGTTTTGATTGTACTGTTCACGTGGGCAGTTCACTTGTAAGTTTGTATTCGAGGTTTCAGTGCATGGATTCGGCAAATACCGTGTTCTGTAGTTTGCTTCAACTAGATTTAGTTGCATGGTCTTCTTTGATAACTGGATATTCTCAGTGTGGGGATTATGGGGAAGCATTCTTCTACTTTAGGAAACTAAACATGGAGAAAGGTAAAACAGTAGATCCCATTTTAGTCTCTGTTGTACTGGCGTCCACTGCTCAATCATCAAATGTAAGGTTTGGTATTGAGATTCATGGATACGTTGTTCGACATGGATTTGAATTGAATGTCTTGGTTTCCTCTGCTCTTATAGACATGTATTGTAAGTGTGGATTTGTGAACTTGGGGATTCGAGTTTTCGAGATTATGTCGGAAAGAAATGTAGTATCTTTTAATTCTCTTATATTAGGTTTGGGGTTAAATGGTCTTGCTTCCCAGGCATTTAAGGTGTTTGATGAAATGCTAACAACCAACCTGAAACCTGATGATTCCACATTCTCTGCCCTTCTTTCTGCTTGTTGTCATGCTGGCCTCTTTGATGATGGTTTCAGAGTTTTTAGGAGGATGGTATCTGAGTTTTTCATCCAACCTAAAATTGAGCATTATGTTCACATGGTAAAGCTTCTTGGTATGGTTGGACAAATTGAAGTGGCATATAACTTAATCTTGTGCTTGCCGAAGCCAGTTGACTCAGGTATTTTGGGTGCACTGCTTTCGTGCTGTGAAGTTCATGGGAATTTTGAGTTAGCTGAAGCTATATCCTTGCAACTATTGGAAAATGAATCCCAAAAAAGTGCTGACAAAGTTATGCTTTCCAACATTTATGCTGTTCATGGGAGGTGGGATGCTGTAACGAAGCTAAGAGATATAACAGAGAGAAAACTGTTGGGGCTTAGCTGGATTGAAAGTGGGAAAACTTGAGTCTCGACTTACTTCTGCAATCGTATGTTCTCACATCAAGTCAGCATGATAGTTTCCTTCTAATGTGAAAATGAAGAAATTATGTAAGTTGTGATCCCTGATAGAATTTCAGGAGAAGGGAAGCCACAAGTGTTGGTAAGAACTTGTGAAGACAAATTTTTAACATTATAGCTGTTCTATTTATCTGCCATCAACTCCTTGGGCTGCTCTCTTTGCGACTGTAAGTAGTATTTAATCGATCATCGAACCTTTCGCCACAATTTATGTGCTGATATTTACCGATTATTTCAGCATACGCCACAAATTGGGTGACGGAAAGAAATTGATCTTCAGACTTCTCATATGTGAATGGTATGTTTGCAATGTTCACCCTGTATATTATCCGATAGGGAATGGAATTTATGGTGGAATTCATGCTAAGAGATACTTCGAGAGAGTTAACACCAGTCATTTTTGGTACCTGTGAGTGACTGTTAATTGATCTCTTACAAATTTATCTGATCCCTGTTTTTCAGTAGCTATATTTGGCCATTAAATGCATTGGTTCTTCCACTTAATTTGTTGCATTTTACCTTTATGTTCGCAGGGATGGATGGTTTAGTAAGCGTGCATACCTGTACTGCATGTATGGCCGGTGACCACAATTATTTTAAACAATTTAAATAATTAAATTTTATAAAATATATGTTTTAAAACGTTTTTTAAAAAATATATATATTTTTTATATTTTTATCAATAATAAAATTTAAATAATAAAAAGTTAAAGTTAAAAAATCTTGATAAAAAATAATAAATATTTCGAGTGGAACGGAGATGAACAAAATTTAGATTAAAATGTTAGTGTATACATATGTGCGTTCAAGAGAACAAATTCTGCCTGTTATTGACGATAAGATTTGGAAACAGGGTTAGATAGCAGGGGGCAGTGGGGGGCGGCGGCGATAGAATTGAACGAGGAAGTTCAGCGCAATGATAATGGGATCAGAAGATTAGGATCATTGTTCGATTTAAAAATATTTTTCAGAATTGATACTAATATATTAATAATACATAATTTTTCATTAGAGATTTTTGATTAGAGTGGGGATAAATAAAATTTTAGAATAGGTACTATTATAAAATATTGGGATTAAAATATTTAAAAAAAAAATAACAATGAAAGTGATTCTCCGATATTTTCTATTTCTATTTTCTGTTTTTGTTTTCAGAAAATAGTTTTCATTTTTTTTGAAAATTAGAAAACATGTTTGGTTAATATAAATGAAAACTCGAATTCAAAAATAAAATAATACAAATCTGTGTGGTATCTAATTTTTTAAAATAGAAATAAACAAATAGTTATTAAAAAATTAAATTAAACTATAATTATTTAAAAAAAATCATTACATAAATTTAACATGTGAGTTATGTAAACATAAAACAATAAAATTGATAAGAAATTTCATAACACAAAATTTATTTTAGTTTATAATAAGAATATAACGTTAATGCATATTTGTAATTAATTAAATTTAAAAAATTCAAAAAATATTGTTATAAGACATAGCACACAAAAGTGTCATTAACATAAAAATATGTTTAGTGGTAATTGAGACCCTCAAAATTTTGAAAAAAAATAATTAGTGTAGTCCCTGAACGTTTTTTTGTACCAAATATGATCCTTAAACTTTAAAAAATAATCTAACCCTTTAAATAGCAGAATCAAACATTGAGCGTCACGACGCTTATATGACAGTTCACAAACTTACATGGCAATCTACAATATTAATGTGATAGTTCACGATACTGTTGTGATAGTACTCGATGGACGATGATGCGGTAGATGAACTTTATTGATTATTTTAGAAAGTTTGAAGACTTATTTATTTTTTAAAAAATTATTTAGATTAAAAATATAAACAATTATTAAGATATTCAATACATTAAATATAAAATACTACAAAATTAAATTATTGAAAAAAATTAATTTAAGGAGTACATTGAGTGTAAAAAAATTTAGAGACCATATTGATTTTTTTTTTATAAAAGTTTGAGCGTTTCTGATATTATTAAATTAAAAAATTATTGTTAGAATGATTTAAATTTGTTTAAGTTAAGTTAAAAATCTAGATATCATATTTCCTTATTTTTCAAATTTTCAAAATAATTTTAACGAAAAATAGTGAAAACATTTTTTATGTTTTCATATTTACAATTTTTTTTATTTTCATTTTCTAGAAATCATTTTCCAATTTTACAATCAAACGCGTTTTATTTAATATTTTCTATTTTCTAAAAATGAAAATAAAAATAACCCATATTTTCTAAAAGCAAACATGCCCTAAAAGATTTTATTTAAAAGAAATCAAAAATGAAGTTTCTTAAAAAGATTGAAATTTATAGTATAAACACTAATTAAACTACTAAATAAGACATATTTAGATTTCTTTACATTTTAATAATAACTTTCTATTAGAAAATAATTTCTTAACTATATTTACCTTAAAAAAATCTGTCTTTTTTTTAAGGTCCTTTTGGATCCATTTAAACAACATTGAGTAAGAGTAATTGTTTAGGTCTAAACAAATCCATTTAACAAGATAACACAAAGTCCAAATTACAAAATCTATACCAATAAAATTTGCACGTGTATGAATATAGTTTAACCTAGATTAAAGTTATGGTCTTTCCTTTTTTTTTTTTTTGAAAATAAAAGTCAAAGCCATGGGACTTATGCTGAGTTTTTAATACAATAGGGAGGACTCTTCACGTGAACTGAAGGTGGCGAGGAGAGAAGAGCAAGTGCATGCATCGGAGGTGGAGACAGCTTGGCAATTCCATCTGCAAGCTTATTTGACTCGTGAGGGACCCAAATAACCTCCGTCACCCAACAACGTTGGCGAAGTTGATGAATGGACCGCACCAGCGAGTGGGGAGTCGGACTCAGCGAAGAGTTAGAGTCGTTGACAAGATTCATAGCATCTGCACAATCCGACTGGATCAACAATAACTCAAAACCATGGTGCGAAGCAACTTCCAAACAGTGGAAAATAGCCCATAACCCGATTTGGAGCGGCGTTGTGATTCCAATAGCTTTAGGAAAACCAATAATCCAATTAACGTCTACGTCACGAAAAGCGCCACCAATGGAGCCGAAGTTAGGTCCAGTAGAGACCGAACCGTCTGTGTTGAGACAAAACCAACCAGTCGGTGGTTTTTGCTATTGAACAGGGACAAGACTTCTCACCTTTGCAGGTGCAGTGGGTTAAAGATTACTGTAGAAATACTTTGCCCAAGCTGCGCTTTAGTTAAGAATTGAATGACCGGGGCAGTAGTTGGAGTTAAATTAAGGTCGTTCCGCTTTTTCCATACCTGCCAAACGAGAGGAGAGAAAAGCAGGTTCCAAGGGACATCGAGCGTGTCATCGATCGTGACCTGATGGATATTGGAGATAATCCACTGCTCCAGGTTTAAAGAGTAGAAGGCAGCCTTACGGTTAGCAGTGATAACACAGTCCCACACTGAACGTGCGCGGACAGTCACGAAGCACATGAATTGTAGATTTCACAGGGAGAGAGAGCAAGCCTTACAAGATGGGTCATCGGTGAAAGAGCGTTTAGAGCGTTCAAGGTTCGTCATCAACTTATGGCGGAAGGTTGTCCAGAGAAAGAGTCGGATACGCTGAGGAACTTGTAATCTTCAAAAATATTGCCAGATAGGACATCTCTCGTCCCAATTATGGTCAGTTAGGGAGCAGTATGCTGAATTGGTATTAAATTGGTTCTTCGGACCCCACCTCCATATGTAGGAATCGGCCACATCAGAACTTGATGGAGGACGAATACTTAGAATGTAAGGAAGGATAGTAGACGGCAGCAAACATTCAAGAGCTTCCAAGTTCCACGAACCATCAACAGTGACTAGATCAGAGATGTTAATATTTTTATTAATGTAACTGGGATCAAGAGCATGAGGGCGAAGGGGTCCGAGTTGTGGGATCCAAATGTCGTCCCAAAACCGAATACCCAGACCATTGCCGACTGACCATGCTATGTTACTTCGAAGGTCGTCCCGTATAGGGGAGAGAGAGTGCCATAGGGGGGAGCTTTTTCGCCTGGTGAATGGATATGGAGCAGGCCTCCACCACTTCATATTTTTCACGAAGAATAGAAACCCATAAAGTATCAAATTGAGTGACCATAGCATACCCGAGCTTCAATATGAAAGCAACATTTTGTTTATGAACATTGAAAAAGCCAAGACCCCCTATCAATGGGTTGGCACAACGTGCCCCAATTAATAAGAGAAACCTTCCGAACATTTGATGTCGATCCCCAAGCGACGAACAATAGTTTCGATATCATTACATACTTTTTTCGAAAGGAGAAATGTTTGCATGAAATAAATTGGGATAGTGACCAAAACGGATTTCGCAAGGGTCATGCGCCTTGTTAATGAAAGAGAGGTAGCAAATCATCCATTGAGTTTGGCCTGCATCTTTTCGAGAATAAAATCATAGTCTGAACAATAAGAACGCTTGTTAATGACTGAGACTCTGAGGTATTTACCTAGTGAGTCAACCATCTTGAACCCGAGGCGTAGACCAATTGACGTTTTCAGATTAGAGGGAACATTAGGAGAGAAAAAAATTTGAGATTTATTTCTACTAATTTGATGTCCCGAGAATCTACCAAACTCTATAAAATAGAATCCATAACTTCAGCTTGAGAATCGGAAGCTTTGGAATACAAAATCAGATCATCCGCGAAGAAGAGTTGAGAGACAAAGGACCATTCATCGAGAACAAAAAGGGAGACCAAATATTGGAACCAATCGCATGGGAGATACAGTGTCCAAGTCTCTCCATTGCGAAAACAAATAAAAAAAGGGAGAGGGGGTCCCTTGGCGAATACCTCTTTCAGGTCTGAAAGTAGTAGAATAAGAACCATTCTATTACACAATCAAGGATGACGAAGAGATGCAGTGCATAATGACTCCGATAAGATTAAGGGGAATATCGGCACAGTGGAGAGTTTCCTCAATAAATTCCCATCATAACCTGTATTATCCCTAAACTTAACGAATGAAACCCTACCCTGAGAAGGCAGCTAGCTAGAGAAGAGCAGCCGCATGCATTTCTTTTTGAGGTGTAACCCGGAAGACCATCAAACCAAAATGAAGGTTTCTTTTATTTTTTCCAAGATAGATAAATAAATTTCAATCCTTTTTGGGTCTTTCTTTTCATTTTTTGTTTGTTCTTTTCGTTTGTGTTGAACTGTTGCTGTTGCTTGTTTCAGTTCAACACTGCGAATCCAACCATTGCTTGTCAGAAAAAAACTGGAAATTAATGATGTCCAGAAACTATATTTTCCCTCTATCTTTAAAAAAAAAAAAAACAGTTTGGTTAAGTTTAGTTAGTTTATTTAGAGTCCAATATTAGGGTCAAATTATGTGTTTGTCATCTCAATCATGAAAAGAGAGA